GTTATCCCCTCTTCAGTCTCAATGAATACTGCTGCCAGACTCATCCACCTCAGCAGCTATTTCGTGTCTGCCACCCCCCTCTGCCAATCCTTCCACTGGCTTCCCATTGCTCAACGAATACAATTCAAAACAATAACAATAACATATAAAGCATTTCACAACTCCACACCAAACTATATCATCAATCTTGTCTCCAAATATCACCCAAAACAGTCCTCTCCGCTCCTTCCAAGACCTCCTGTTCTCTAGCTCCCTTGTCTCCTCCTCTCATGCTTATCTCCAGGACTTCTCCAGAGCCTATCCCTTCCTCTGTAACTCTCTACCCAATCTGTCCAACTATCTCCTATTCCATCTACTTCTAGGCAATCCCTGAAAACCTTTACAGAATTTCTTCAGGGAAGCCTATCCTCCCTTCAGCTAATAACTGAATCTTCTAATTCTCCCATCAGTTCATCTCCCACGGTTATTACTTTTTGTTCCACTAGCCCCTCCCTATTACATTGTAAGCTCCCAGGAGCAGGGCCCCCCTAACCCTCTTGTTTTCAACTGTATCATTGCTGTATGGTCTCTCTTTATATTGTAAAGCGCTTAGCAAACTGTTGGAGCTATATAAATCCTGTATAATAATAATTTAAAATATATGAAAATATTCTGAGCCAGATTATAACCAGGAAAACAAGTAAATGTTCTTAGTTTAAGAGCAAATGCTAGCAGAGAAGTTAAGGTGACAAAAGTGTTCCTACCAAGTCCAGTCTTTTAAATCTGCCCTATATGTTAAGCCTTGTATAAACGCACACAATTCAGTACATTTCACCCCCATTCCACACCTTCTCCATCCCCATTGTATTTCATGGGATAATTAAATTTCTCAGGAGCTTGATGCATGACTTGTAAGAATGCTCTAGTATTCCACAGTCTAATAACTTAAGTGGATCTCTGTTCAATTTAGTCAGGTTGGAGCTGGAAGTTCTAGCATGAGAATATGAAAGTTTCTGCTACCCAAACTATCATGCAATACCAGTATATGACTCAAAGACTCAGTGGATTTTCTATTAGTTTGTGTTAATACAATAGTGATTCATGAAATTCACGTTAGTTATTTATAATAATATTTTTTAACCCTTAGTGTAATTTTTTTTTACCATAAAGAAGGGTTAGAACTACTGTCAAACTGATAATGAGTTGTCATTGCTGAGATTCACACTATTTGTCCAAGTGATCTTTGTCAGTAAGACAAAGTGGGAGAAAATTCACAATTTTGAATTGTTACCAGAATAGGAACAGTAGGGAACTTTTCTGTTTACTACTGTCCATGAGAGGATTCCCCTCAATTTGGAGACACTTTTTCTCACTTCCTATTGTGTTTATGAGACAGTTTATGTGCAGGTAAGTTTTATTGATGCAACACATTAGAAAAGAAAAAACAATACAAGTTGTTCCCTACAATATTCAAAATAGTTTTACAATTATTTACATCAAATTATTCTATAAATCTCTCTGCAAATTAAATATATTTATTGTACATCATATAGCTACATGTCTATATCTAAATGTCTATATATATTTTTAAAAATCCCTTTACAATCAGAACCTGTTTTTTTATATATTTATTGAGTAGATTACACACACTTGAATGCATATAACACAGGACCTTTAAAATGCACAGAAGACCCCCACTCTCCCACCCTTGTGAAAACCACTGAAACAGAATGAAGGTGATAGAACCACAGGGAATCCATGATTATTATAAACAATGTAATTGGGTGTCAGTATCTGAACTAATAATGGCAAACTTAACATTTTAAATGAAAAAAATATGGATGAATGCACACACATATACAGCATGTGATATAGAAACCACTTTTAAAGGAAATGTAGAGTCATTTTAATCAGGTTGATTTAATAAAGAGGTTGAGATTGTTCACATTGCCAAGTAAAAGTTCACTTAGCCTAGTGAGTAAGGTGAAGCTATGTTGACTTTAATCATGGAATCATGTGCAAGCCAAAATACTGTTTTTTCTTAATTTCCCTTTCACATGATTATGTATTTAAAGTGAATACAGCTTCACCTTATTCACTAAACTAAGTGAACAGTTTCTAATCTTTTAGGTTAATCAACCTCTTTGTTTTCTTAAATATATATGTAATAGATCTCTATGAGATTTCTATGTATGGCTTGCAGTGTCACGTCCAGAGTAAATATAATCAAATAAAAAATTAGAATGACATCATTTGCATGCTGAAAGATGAATGATATGTTATTTTAACTCCCTGTCCCAATTACATTTGTCTAGTGACAAATTCCCTTTAAATTAAATCTGTGAATTGCAAAAAGAAAAAAAAAAACAGCGCAAGAACATTGCTGACTTTATAAGCTGTTATTGTGGACCTTAACCAAAAAAAAAAAAAGTTATATTATAGGACACTTCTAGAAAAGTTGATTATGCCTAAATAATAGCCTGTAAAATGCACCTTTTACCTGGAATTCATCCTAAGAAATGGCAGTGTAATTCCTGTGTCTCAGCCCAACCTCACAACTATATATTAGCAGTGTGAGATCTGCCTCCAACTGCTAGTCTCAGGAGATGTAGTAAGATTTAATGATGTCTTTACTGTGCTAATCACTGTTCTCCTTGCTGAAGAGGAGGTTGTACCTGTGGACTTGCTATGCATCTCCTTGCTTCTGCTTCTTTAATCCCGTAAATGTGTTCCTCTCCTGCTGCTTTTTAAATATTTCCACTTCAGTTATTAGGTCTTCAATGATCGGGGGCAATGGGATAATCCCTTCCCAAAGAGATACAGTGCATAACAAATTGGAAATTAGTAATGGGGAAAAGATCAGCTGTAGGGAGGCCACAGTCTAACTTCCGTACCATCTGCTTCCACAGCTTCCAACGTTAAGGTTTTCTTTACACTGTATTATTTTCCTAACCACAAGGCCTCAGCATTGTCACATGAAGTACTGGATTTTAGAAAGTTATTGTTTGCATATTTGTCTGTTAAAGTGCCTAATGACATTGGTGGACAGTGCCTAAAAAAGAAGGTTTTTGCCGACAGCTTATGGTATCAGCTATGCACTAGTGCTGTTCAAACACACAGATTCTTTTTGAACAATGCGCCAGACATTCTATTTTATAGGAATCATGTTTTCATAATGTTATACAGACGACAGACAAGACAAGATTTAACACACATAGAAAAAATGTAAAGTTCACAGTAGATTTACATGAGGTCTTGGAATGCTGTTTTCACTGTTTGCTTTTGGATTAGTATTTTTGGAAGGTGGAGGATTGAGATGCAGTCCTGTTGAGAATCTAGATTCAGGAGAACTCATGGGAGTGAATGCAATAGAGCAGATATCTAAGTGTGGAATTGAAGGCTCATTATCACACCAGAAAAATGTAGCGGATCTCTCAACCACACTTTGCTCATGGCTTGACAATGCATGAGGTAGCTGCAGAGGAATCAAAGGAAAAAAGGCTAGACAGTAATGTAGCATAGAGTAGATATCCAGCTTTACAGTAGGCTTCAAAAATGCAAGCACCAGATTAAGAGAAAAACACAAAAATAACTATAAATGTATTATGAAACATTAGGAGGCTCCACCAAACATCAGCACACACATCACAGTGGTCCAAATTAGATTAGTATTAAAGTACCCCTGTCACTGAAAAGCAAAATTAAATAAAAAAGCACCTGAAAAATAAGACACTTTATGCTTAGATGTCCCAATGCCCCCTTGTAGAGTCTTATTTCTGTAAACAAACAAAACAAAAGGTATAGTGGATTAGTCTCATTACTTGCAGGATCCTTACATGAATGCTGATGCATTTCAAGGGACATGCCCTCTTCTTCAGAGCAATAGCCTGAAGATGAGGGCATGTCCATTAAAATGTGTCAGTGGTTGTTTAATTCATGTAAGGATCCTGCGAGTTCCATCCTCTGAATTACTGTTCTGTTTCTGCTTCTTGGCTCTTGTTTTTACATTTAATAAAGAAATGACAGTAAAGCACCAGGCATTTGTGTCCTTTTTTTTTCTTTTTTTATGCAATTTAAGATTCCTTTATCCCAAAAGGACAGCATTGGCAGAACACTCCCATTTTGGTAGAAAGCTGATGGTCATCATCTGGTTGGTTTCTCAAGAATCCCTGATCACTAGGGTGTCTAAGTGTTTGTTCTGTTGTGTGATTTTTTTTATCTCCATAGCAGAGCATAGCTGCCCAAATAATATTTACATCAGACACACTTTTAGGTATATAGAATGCTTTTATCCCCTGATGATGCTCTCTGTGCTCCCTCCCCCCAGCTCCTAGATCAGTACTGTGCAATGTAGAGATGTAGGAGAAGAGAAACCACAGAACACATGACTACACAAAAAAATGTTAGATTGTGCTAAAAAATCATACCTACTCTGAATCCAGTTCACAACCAAGTTTGTTGATACAAAAACACTCAGCTCTGAGGAAGGGAATTCAGCTCCTGAAACGCATCAACTTTTTCAACCAGATGGTTCCAGGAAGGGACCCAGATATCCCATACCTAAGCAGTTTGATATTAGCCTACTTTCACGGACTGCCAGTGCCTCTCCCATCCCCCGCCATATCCCTCCACCCCTCTCTTTCTCCTTGCACATTCCGAAGTCTGGGGAGCTTCCATGGACAATGCTGAGCCGGCCTTTGCCGAGGCAACCTAGCCGCGTCCCACTTGGTTTTCAAAACTCTCGCACAGGAAGCAGCCCTCCTCTCTTTGTTCCTGTCCATGCTGCTGGAATCATCTTGCTGCCAGAAAGATGCTGGGAGGCTCAGGTGAGGGGGACCGAGCCTCCCCAGCCATCCACCTTGCGCACTCTGCAGACCCCCAAAAGGTCAGGACTGTAGCCCTCTGCAATACCCCAGGGTTGGGAGTCTCCACAGCTCTGCATGAGCCTTCTCCTCAAAGGTCAGAACCCACAGCTGAGACCCTACCAGTCTGTAAGCCTGTCTACTGGGCACCCTTGCACCCTGTCTGCTGCTGTGTGCCCTGGGAGCTGCTGTTGAGGGACCCTGCACACTATCCATGGCTGCGTGTCCCTGGAAGCTGTCTGCTGCTGAGTGCCCTGGGAGCTGCTGCTGTCTGCTGATCGCTGGTTGTCCCTGGAACGCTGACCGCTGGTCGTCCCTGTCTGGAGCCGCCTGCCGCTGAGGGTCTGCAAGCTGCTTACCATGAGTGTTCTGAACTGTCCCTGTTGTGCACACTGACGACCTGTGTCCTGAACTGCCCCTGCTGTGTGCACTGACCACCCGTGTTCTGAACTGTCCCCGCTGTGTGCACCGACCCGTTGAGTCCCCAAGGCCCCTGCCCAGTGGTAGGTTGCCGCCTGTTGCCCCAGACCCCTGCCCAGGGGTATATTGCCGCCTGTTGCCCGAGGCCCCTGCCCAGTGGTAGGTTGCCGCCTGTTGCCCGAGACCCCTGCCCAGTGGTAGATTGCCACCTGTTGCCCGAGGCCCCTGCCCAGTGGTAGGTTGCCGCCTGTTGCCCGAGGCCCCTGCCCAGTGGTAGGTTGCCGCCTGTTGCCCGAGTCTCCAATCCACTGTCCAATCACGGAGGGAGCTCAGCTGAGGCCCCAAGCCTAGGGGGTAGATTGCCTGCCTGTCGCTGAAGACCCCCCGTGCCTGGAATCGTCCCTGGTTTGCGCACACATCGCCTTCCCTGCCATTTCTCCATTGAATGTCTATCCTTTTGTTACTTCAATAAAGCTTTGTGTGTTCCCCATCTTCTCCGTGTGCTCTGTCCTGCCTACGCTTCTGTTACACCTACCATGCAGTTTTTTTTGTGAGTGTCCATTTGTTATTTTATTTTAATACATTTTGTACCACGGTAAGAGCCCTCTTGTGTATTTTTGGAGAGATGTGAAGATTCCCCGATCTGTGGAGGGCTGTACCTGAGTGAGTGGCACACACCGTGGAAGATGTGGCGTGTCCTGATTTGAGCGCTGATCTGATTTTTGTTTTTGTGGACTTATCAAGCTTGTTGATGCTTAATCAAACTAAAATATTTTAACAATGAAAAATTGTAAAGCAATAATCATGCCAGGGCACTCAACACAAAAAGAGATTTGAATAACTGCACTGTAGTAAGACAGCAAAAATATATAGACTGTGGATCATTTTTGTTGTAAATCCAGGAAAACTACCTTAGAAATAGGATCTTTAAAATAACCTAGATACTGGAAATGTAAAATGAACTATGTAAACATTTTGTATACAAGTATACATTTTTGTTATTATACCATTGAACCAGGGGTGGACTGACTACTCATGGGGCCCCCGGGCAATAAGGGATCATGGCGCCCCTGTGTCCTCACCCACACTCAAACCACATCCAAAAAATCATATGAAAGGTACCAGGGACATCTCATGGGGCTCCCTACTGACCCTGGGCCCTTGGGCAGTGCCTGAGTTCCCAAATGGTCAGTCCGCCCCTACATTGAACACCAAATACTTGCACTTGTCCATAGGTTTTTATTAACTATTAGATTTGATAAGCATATGCTGTTTTAGAGACATCTTACCACATAAATGAAAACAACTTTTCAATTATTGATTTGGTTCTGACAACAGACTTTGAAAAATATAGAGTGTACTCTGTTAAAAAACAAAGGAAAACTTAATTCAAATGTTTCCAGGTAGTTATAGTTTTCAGTGTATGTCTTATTCTAAAATCTCATATCTAAAAGCAGTTTGACATAACCATGGCCCAGACTTGTCTACTATAGTAATGTATATCAAAATATAGTATTGCATTACACAGTGAAATAAAAGTTCCACCCACAAAACCATTTTTTAACAACTGTTTGGATACCTTTAAAAGAAAGTCAGTGTTAACCACAAAGGAAGGGAAAGAATACAGCCAGCTTAGAAGAACACAGAGATCTTATGACCTTGTGCTGGTTAGAAAAATCTATTGTCTGGAACATTTCAACAGCTCACTGAAAGACGCAAAGTGATAATGCAAACTCAGGATTAAGAAATCAGTTTTTTTTTTATCAATTTCAACATTTACCATAGTTTTGCCTGGGAAGCTTTAACACAGATAGTTAAAATAAGACCCAAGCCAGTTATTGACTTGGTATACAGAACTTTTAAGGCCGACTATAAACTAAAGCAAAACTATCACAAACCTGGGTAAGCCAAAAGGAACATTTGATGAAAAAAAAAATCACATCAGCTGAAGTTACATTCACTTGAAACATTTGTAGATCAAGATATATAGGCAACAGAATTGGAGAAACTAACATATCACAGCTAATGAACCTCTGACAGGTCCTATAAGCTTGTATGCAGATAAATGGTGGACAACTGTCACCCAAAAAGACTCAAAGAGATGCTTCAGACTTGTCAGATTCAGAATTAGCAGGAGGCTGAGGTTCTCCCACGTTGGAGGCACAAGACGGTTTGCTGCAACACTCATTTTCCAAGATCAGGGGGCTTATATTTCATTTCTAATGCATATACAAAATATTAGTTGTATGGAGATGAACCATTTTTTTCTGACGTATTATGAGCTACATACAGTTGCCAAATGGTAAGTTTTAGTTGTAGGAAACCACCTAGGAACCAACAAAACATTGTATGAGACCTGCTCCTGGAAGCCATGCAGTGAGCACTGATATCACAAAAACGAATCCCACCACATCCATTAGACCTGGCTGATTCATACAGCATATGGCAATGTCAGAAGGCCATAACCTTTTCTCCCAGCAGGTGAGCTAATACCTCCATAGAGGACTGGTCAAAGGAAATGATGGTCATCCTGTATCTTTTCACAATAATTTAGGTAACTTGGAAGAGATCATTCAAAGACAGCATTTACAGATTGCATCATCCAGCCTCACTCGTTCCTTTATCCTCAGTACCCCCTTCCTTATTGTGATGCTGGTCTCATTAACCAAGACAGGAGCTTAGGTGGCAGTAGATGATAAGCTTGAAGAAAAGCCAGCACCCACACAAAAAACACAGCTTTTCGCTACAAACAGCAATTACTGATGCATGTTTTGAGGGCACATAGGTCCTCTTTGACAAGACACTAAATTGGTCATCACTAAAAATGCAGAGATATAGATTTTACTTCAACTGCTGATATACTGATTGTTGTTACTCTCAATAAACGTAGTTTGAGGGCTAGCTAAATTATACAGTTTATATCTAACCTCTGCACTAGATAGTTGTTAATAGACCTTAGGGAGATTGTTCAATCAGATTGTAACATAAGTGACTAGTTTAATTACTCACTCAGTGGATGAGCATTATGCTTTGTATAACACCCCCCAGTGTGTGGCACTGTAAAGAGATGGTGTGATACATTGCTACAATGCATTGTACTGTTTATCCTTTCTTTAGCTTTATTAAAATGTCACAAAATTACATTTAAAATTAAATTTAAAATAAAATTGTATTCATTTATATGCACTGCATCTCATTGCAGAGTGGTGTAGTGTGGCACAATGTGCAGTACTACATAATAATGCAGCATATCCTATTTTTTTAGCACCCTTTTTCATTTAGTGTGAACTTATGAAATATAAAGCAAATTGCATTGTCTATGCATTGGGACTGCATTAGGCAACTCTTTCCAACACAACCTCACACATATGGTGTGAAGGGGACCTAAGTCAAAGAAGCCAAATTGATAAAGGGAGATTCAGAGGGCCCTGCTCCTTAGAGCTTAAAATCTAAGAGGGAGGGTCGAGAGATACAAAAGGTAATAACTGTGGGGGATGGGCTGATGGACAAAATACATGTACAGTTGTTAGGTGGGGGCAGGACAGGTCTCTCTGAAGAGATGAGTTTTCAGAGATGTCTAAAAGTAGACAGAGATGGAGATAGTCAGACACAGTGGGGAAGGAAGCTCCAGAGGATGGGAGCAACTCTGGAGAAATCCTGGAGGTGAACAAGGGAGGAGGTGACAAGGGAACTGGAGAGCAGGAGGTCTTGGGAGGAACAAACAGAATGATTTGATTGGCATTTTGAGACCAGGTTAGTGATGTAACTAGGGGCTGAGTTGTGCATGGCTTTATAAATTTGTTGTAAGTATCTTGAAATGTATTCGTTGGGTAAGTGGGAGCCGGTGGAGAAATTGGCAAAGAGGGGTGGCAGAAACTAAAGCAGCATTCATGATGGACAGGAGGGGGGATAGCCTATGCAAAGGTAAGCCAGTGAGGGAGTTGCAGTAGTTAAGGCAGGAGATGACCAGGGAGTGAGTTAGAAGCTTTGTGGTGTCATTGGTTAGGAAGGGGCATGTCTTGGAGATGTTGCGAAGGTTGAGGCGGCAAGCTTTGGGCAGCGATTGGATGTGGGGCCGAAAGGATAGTTCAGAGTCCAGGATTACACCTAGCAACCTGGCATGTGGGGACGGGTTGATGGTTGAGCCACTGATTTTGACAGAGAATTTAGTGGAAGGGGCACGTGGGGGAGGAAAGATTATGAGCTCAGTTTTGGATAGATTAATTTTCAGGAAGTGGTGTGACATCCAGGCTGATATGTCTGTCAATAGATTAGTGATGCATATGGAGACTGATAGAGTGAGCTGAGGGGTAGAGAGATAGATTTGGGTGTCATCAGCATAGAAATGGTATTGAAAGCCATGGGAGGCAATCAATTGACCCAGAGAGGAGGTGTAGATTGAGAATAGGAGGGGTCCCAGAACAGAACCTTAGGGAACCCCAACACAGAAAAGAAGAAGAGAAGAGGAAGTAGAATTGTAAGTGACACTGAAGGTATGATGGGACAGGTAGAATGAGAACCAATGAAGAGCACAGTCATGGAGACCAAAGGAGTAGAGTTTTTTGAGGAGGAGGGAGTGGTCCACTGTGTCAAAGGCAGCAGAAAGGTCCAGGAGTAGGAGTACAGAATAGTGTCCATTGGTTTTAGCCATTAGTAGATCATTTGTAAGTTTGAGGAGAGCAGTTTCTGTGGAGTGCTGAGAGTGAAATCCAAACTGAAGGGGATCAAGGTTATTTTCAGTGAGGTGGTTGCCCAGCTGCCTGTTGACGAGGCATTCAAGGAGTTTGAAGGAAAAGGGGAGTAAGTAGATGGGTCATCAGTTGTTAAGATTGGTGGGGTCTAGTGAGGACTTTTTAAGCATGGGGGTGACTAGTGCATGTTTTAGAGAATTGGGGAAGATCCAGGAAGAGAGGGAGAGATTGAAGATGTGAGTTAGAGAGTGTAGGATAGAGCCAGAGGGTGACCGTAGCATTTGCGATAGAAAAGGGTCCAGGGTGCACATGGTTAGGTGGGTGTTATAGAAAGGTTTAGCAACCTCGTCTACAGTAGTGGGGTTGAATATGGGAAGTAATCTCGGAGATCTCCTCGTGAATTGTATAGGTGTTTTTTTTTTTTAAGTGATTGGCGATCACCTGGGCATTGAGTGAGTTAGTGGGTGGAGGCAGTGGAGGATGAAGAAGAGAATTGAAGACAGAGAAGAGTGGACGCAGATTGGATGAGAAGGTGTTAATGAGAGTAATGGAATAGGTCTGCT